ATCAACTTATTATACTATGGACAAGAAGAATTACTTGCCAATTCGAAAAATTGATTAAAATTGGTTAGAAATGATAAATATGTAAAAAGTATAACTTATTTTTTTTATTTATGAAAAGGGGATAAATGGGGAGAGAATAGATGAAAAAAAGATAAAAGAGAAAAAAGTGAGAGAAAAAAAAATAATAGAGGCATAAACAATCAAAAATAAAAGAACGTATTAAATAATCAGATAAATTTAAATTCATTTGCAAATCAAGCCCTTCTAAAAATTTTATGTTCACATTTTGAATTAAATGGAGTATATACTCTATCCTGCATTCCTCGAACCAGCTTCAATTAAGTGGACCAATGAGAGTAATCCAGACGCTAGATTGAGGGTCTCGGATGATTTTGTAGTCCCCGTGTTTTTTTTTTGGGCCAACTCAGTCCCTGCGTTCTTTGAAATTAATTTAAAAAGGTGATAAACTAACTTAAAAAAAATCTCCTTTAGCGTATATTGAAAAAGAAATATCCGTTTTTTCCATTAATTTTTCTATGCTGATCCTTTCAAAGTCACAGCCAACAAATTAGGCATTAATAACATTTTATAATTTTGTAATTTGGCAGGACACATCTTACATGAATTACTAGTCGGAGGGTTGAATAGAAGAAATCTTATTCTACATCCTGTCCGTAATATAAGATATTGTTTGACTTTTATTTTGATCCTAAATATAAAATCACAATCTATTTTGTCTCTCATATTTACTTAATTTTTTTCAAGATAGTACCTTTTAATAATTTTAGTTTTAGCCAACACACTTGATTAGTAAAAATATTTTAGGAAAGACAATACCTATTTATTACAAATAACTAATTTAACTTCTTTTCTTAATCTCTTTAAATTAGTCAACTAACTCTTATAATTAGGACCAGAAGTAGTAGATTAAAATAATAGGTGTTGATCCTATGATAAAACAAATTCAAGAGATTTTGGGTGAGTCTATGTACATGAAAAAGATGTTGAGTGTGTTATTGCTCTACCATTAATAGGACTTGTTAATAGCTTGGTTTATATTGAAAAATCACTTTTATAGTTGAGTTGAATTGGACGGAGTGAAGCTATCATTAAACTAGAACCTATTAAAATTAAGTCGGAAATCAAAGCAATATTTACAAAACGGATGGTTTTTGCCCTATAAAAAAAAGATACAGAATTTTTTTTAAAAAGCCCATAGGTTATTTAAAAAAATGATTCTCGAGTTGTCTAATTTATTTTTACATTATTTATAATTATATGGTGTTATTTTATTGAAAACTCTATATGTTATGGTGTTATTATGTTGAAAATTAAATTTATTATGAATTTGTTTATTGTGCATTTTTATTATATAAGCGTTTTATTTAATTATTATATCACCTGTTCAAATATCAGTGCTGGTTGGACGGTGCTGGTAAAAAAAAAAAAAAAAACTGGTTGGACGGTGAGAAAATAACGAAAAATCATGTAAAGTGATTTCAACATGTAGAATGGTCGCCGTTAAAGCCGATGACGATGGGAGATCAATCATCTGGTAAGAAGTAGAAGATCATCGAAAATAGCAGTCAACAAACTTAGGGAGTGTTTGGATAAGATCAAAACCGTGGTTTCAGAAGTGCTTTTACGGTATACGAAGCAAATATATGAAGAAGATTGCCTCGATTTGCGGAAAAGTGCTTTTGAAAAGTGATTTTAAGGGCATCCAAACACCCTCTTAATCTGTGCTACCTCAACTCTAAACTTAGCACTAGCTTAGCACTAAGGGTGCCGTCCACCACGCTTGAATACAAGCTAATCTACATCATATTATAAATTACAATTAAACACAACGCAATTAAGCTTTCAACAAAGTGAACAAAACCAAACACACCATACCATAACACCTCACAATCTCAAACAACACCATTAGTCAACTCTCAAGGTCAGAGTATTGTTTCTCCGGTACTGCCAACTCAAAGGAGTCATTAAACAACATCTACATCAATCATTCATAATAATTCCCCAATTTACACTTAAAAACTTTTACCTCCAGCATACACCCAATCCTACAATTCACTGCAATATTAACAATTTAAATCAATTAAAACTCTTATTTAACTCAGATAAATATGACCTAATCCTTAAGCTATGTTTCAAACCATTTCATTATCAATTTCTATCAAACCCCTATTTCAACAACAAATCCTGACCTCCAAATCACGTAAATCAAATCCAACAAAACTAAACAGAATAAACATCTTATTTAAGTCGACCAACTAATTTAAATCCAAAATGTGTGGTGAAATCATCACCCATTTCAAACCCCCCTAAGCCTTAAGGTTCTGTTTAGTATGAATCACTAAGAATGAGAGGTAATTATTTAATTAAGATTGAGATTAAGAAAACTTATTAAAAGAGTATTGAGGATGATAGATTGCTTCTTACTTAGCTTGAAATTTGGCGAATCCATATAAGTTGGATTGGGAAATACCATCTCCTCCCTTGATATTTTTTAATCCCATTTATATGGGTTTGCTTAATTCCAAGTAATAAGCAATCCCTCATACTAAATACTTTTTTAATAGATTTTTTTTTTCAATTTCAATCCCAATCTTTATCTCTTATTCTTAATGCTTCGTGACAAACAAGTTCTAACAATTTAACTATTCAAAAATAGGAAAATCTAAGAAAACAGGGTAGAAATGAGATTAATTAAAAACACTTATCTTGATATTTAGAAGCTCAAATGTACTCTTAGAGATTGAAATTCACAAGCCCTAACATAATCCCAATAATCTTCTACACAAAACCTTATGAAAATTGTATTTGAAACTGATTTCATAACCTATATTTCAGCATATTAATTTGTTGTGGCATTCGCCAGTATGCACTCATAGCGAATGGCATGGAAAAAATTGCTTTTTTTGTCATGAAATTTGCCACAGCATTTGCCATGACGAACTCATGGCAAATGCCACACAATAAGAAATGACCCAATTTAAAAATTTTATAACTAATCTCACATGTCTCTGAGGATTATAAGCTAGGACTCTTTAGTAAATTTGAGATGTTTATTTTCCAAATGACCAAAAAAAAAATCATTCAAATATAATATCATTTGTCCCTTGAAAATGATAATTTACCAAAAGTTTTTTTAGGGAGAAAGTGGCTAAGTTCAAAAATTTATAAGTAAATCCGGACATTTCTAAAATTTGTAAATTATGATTCGTTGGAAATATTGAAGCGTATACTTTCAAATACAAAAAGAATTATTGGAAAATATCATCACTCGACTTTTTAAAATACTCGAATTCAAAGATTAGTCTAAAAAGTCCAAAAATATGACTTCAAGTTATCTTTCTTATTACCTTTAATCCTCAATTAGCCTCAATAATTAATAATAACCTTTAATTTTTACACAAATTTAAAACTTAAACACTCAAACTATGAGAATTAAAAACCATGAGGTTATAGAAGTGGCACTGCCTTTAGAGAAAAAACCTCCATCGATGTTGTTCAGCAACATCTTTTTTCAAGAGTAAGTTACAATTAAATCAAAATTACAAGGATTGAGTGATATTGAGTCAAAATATAAAGATTGAATTATAATTAAGTTAAAAATACTGAAACCAAAAGATTATTTTTTCTTATATATATCGCGGTACATTATCTTATTTTTTTTCATTTCCATTGTAATGGTCATTAGCCTTGTCGCTCGTGGAATGGATGCTTCTTTGCAAGTGCCCGCGAGTTGAGTCATATTTGTAATCTCAGTTTGCCTTTCTAATTAAAAAGAAAGAGAATATGTTTTAAATTTTTAACATAAATATACTATTTTATCTTTTTTTATTGAGGGACATACTATTATTTTCTTAAGAATATATACTACTTCCGGTCCTAAGATTTGATTGACTAATATGAGTGGACTAAGAAAATAAATTAAGATAGTTATTTGAAATAAATAAGTATTTTTTTTATAATATTCTTACTAATCAAGTTTATTAGCTTGAATTATTGTTATTAGAAATATTATTTTAAAAAAATAGATAAATATAAGAGACAAAGTGGATCATGATTTTATATTTAGGACCAAAATAAAAATCAAATTAGATCTTATATTAAAGATCTGATGTAGTATTAATTAGGAATAAACTTATAATTTTGTTAAATTTTAAGGTAAAATTAATGGGGTTTAATTTTTTTTTATTTTGATAAAATATATTAGAAGTATTTATAAATAAGATTAGTAAGGAGTTTGGATACTCTTACAAGCAATTAAAAAAAATAATATTTTTGTATAAATCGAGATAATTTTTTTTGCACTCATGTCAAACATTTTAAAAAGCTCACCAACACGCCTCCCGTACAAAATATGGAAGAAAATAAAAACCTCATAGATAACAAGCAAAATAAACCAAGGAAAAGAACACATAAAATTATTGTTTCCTATGGTGGGATACAGCTAATAAATAAGATCCTTTTCACGCCACATGGGGTTTCCAGACAACTTGATGAACCGCAGAGTGCAGAACCGCATGCTTTGCTCACCAGCCCGCGACGCCACCATGAACCCCCGCCGCAGCGATACGAGGACATAAAATCATAAATCATTGTGACCACGTGTCAGCTTCCCCAGGCTCCTATTTTGACCGACACGTGGCGTCCCTCGTACTCCGATTCTCCACCTGACACGTGTCACCGGCAAAAAAGACAAGTTGCTGACAGCGACCCCTCCACGCCAGAGACCGTTTTTATTAATAATTTTCTCTGGGAAATCGTGTCAACTTGATCCACGTGTAGCCCTCCCACCCGCCATGATCACCACCTGTCGAATCCTGAACTTTTGTTCTCACAATCGCAGGGGTATTTTCGGAACATAATATTAAACATTTCTCCGTCCGTCTCTTTTTCTCCTCTGCTAGTACCTCTTTTCTCGCTGCTGCATCTTCTCTCTCTCTTTCTTCGTTTCTTCTCTGTGCTTTTGAATTTAAAAAAAAAACTATATCCCACAATTTGTCGCGTCTGGGTTGGATTACTTTGCAGACGGGAGATAAAAATTCAGCGACTTTTTGTGGGGATTGCTTACTATTTCACTAATTTATTTCGTTCTGATAATTCAAACAGTAATCCTAGTAATTTTATTCCTGCTTCCTTTTCGGATTGTGTTTTTTGGGAGCAGAAACGTTTCTTCTGTGAAGGGTCATGTGTTTCTGTGCGATTGAGCATCATCGGACGAGAAACATGTTTTCTTTCGCTGATTTTTCGAATTCGAACCATGCTTTCTTGTACCGGCGAAGGCGAAGTAGAGGTTGAAGTGATATTTTTACCGTGTAAATCTCTCTTTCTTCGTTTTTCTTTTTTTAACTGATTGTTAAACCATGGGTGAGGCTAACGAAGGAAGAAGAAGCAAGGCTATGGATAATATGTCTCTACAAATGGACAAGTTCCCGAGAGATCTTCTTCAGAGATTCATGGCTTGTAGTAATAATACGCAGCAACCCCTGTGCTCAGAGGCTTGCGGGCAATCGGAAGAGATTGAGCTTAGCCTTGGCCTTTCGTTGGGAGGTCGGTTCGGTGTCGACAAGAATGCTAAGAAGCTTATGCGGTCATCGTCTATCGTCGGGACAATGCCTTTCGTCAGAGAGGACACGACTCCATCCCCGTCACCGGCACGGGCGAACCCGACTACTCTCATGCGGACTTCGTCACTTCCGGCGGAGACCGAAGAGCAGTGGAGGAAAAGGAAGGAGTTGCAAACATTGAGGCGAATGGAGGCTAAGAGACGGCGGTCGGAGAAGCAGAGAAATTCCAAGACGGAGAGAGATGGCGGCAGTGGCGGCGCAGGCGGTGCAACGGTGTCAGCACGACCTTTCGGGTTACCTAGCTGTGGTGCATCATCTGATTATAATGCTAGGCAAGTGCAAGTGGTTCTTGGTGATGTATTGGCCAAAGGGAAGGTTGGTTTTCAAGGATATGCACAGCCTTCTTCTCAGGGCTCTGCGGATTCTCAAGGTGGAAGCTCTTCAGGAGTGTCAGAAATGGATAGCAAACCTTTTCAAGGTAAATTACTCTCACAAGTTTCCCTCTATTCTAACTAGCTAGTTGGGGTTATCAAGATTAAGTATACTCAAACTTCGTTCTAAGTTGAGTATTTTGAATGTTCTATAGACGAATTTAACCAGATTATTAAAGAAGCATACTATTGCCTTCCCCTGCACTAGTTTTCCTCTTTATTTGGTCAACTTTCCAATCTTAACAATATGCTTTTTGGTTATGGATGCGTTTTGAGTTTAGTGGTTTTCCTTGCATGTTAATAAGATTGTGAAGGAGAAATAACATCTTTTTTCTTGTCAACTATACGTACTAGTTTTCCTCTTTTTTCGGTCACTGTTAATTATTTTAACTATGTACTTTGTGTCCATCGTTCATTGGTTTTCCTTTTATGTCTAGTTGAGTGGATGGTTATGGTTTGCTTCGGTGTGGATGGTGTAAATCTGCGGAAATAGTGGATTGGATTTTGACTGTGTGATTGATGACGACACGTTCTCTTGATAATTTCTGATGTGTGATTTCATAAATTTTTGTTTTCTCTAATAATTATGCGAAACAGAATATCTAAGTCTCTTGCGGATTTGAAAGTTCCTAGGGGTTGATAATTGAATGGCATGCTAAAAACGCTGATGATAGAGAAGATCAAAAGAGTAGATTCTGATGCCGTTTGTTCTCGGCTACTGGTTGGTTGTCAAAAAATGGCGAGGTGATTCTTAGAAATCCAACTTGGTTGGTCAGTATAGGAGGATAAGATATTTAGTGAGATCAATTTGTGATCTTTTTCATTTTTCAAATTTCATCTAACCAAAGTTACTTTACTTGTTAGAGCTTTGTGTGGCTGGTGGTTTTTCTTTTTCTACCTTTTTGTTTTTTAATTTTTTTTTTAATGATAAAGAGGATGCACTTCTTCACTTTTGTATATGGATGTAGAACTGAGTGCAAATTCAAGTAATAATCATTCTACAAAGAAATATTCTTTTTCTGGTTTTTCATGATTTTAAATTATAGTTCCGCCATATTGAACCTAAGCCACAGATAGCATATTGAAACAGATTACCTTTGAGAATTTAAGAGAATATTAATCTTCGCAACTATTCTTATCTCTACAAGAATTAGTGATTCTGAGTCTCATCCCCTTCTCTCTTATTTGATAGTGACTTATATTCTCTCAGCACATAATTCCTAGATGTTATCAATAGAAGCCCTAAATCAGATTCTAGCACCAAGCAGAGTAGATCATGGTGGTTTTTATTTTTCTATTTTTTCAATTATAAATCTTGGATTCAAGGTGCTTATTTGACTTGAATTACTCCAGGTCTTGAATTAAAGCTTTATTGGTCACTCATCGAAATGCATCATCCAAAATCCAAATTTCTGGATTTTGACTAGCAACTAAGGGTCTCTCAGGCACTTGTCTCTTGTTCTTCATAAGGCCTGATGAGCAATGGTGTTAAAAATAATCAATTTCATATGCAGTGATGGCAAATGTGATGGCGCAGGGATAAAGTTTTTAAGCACCAATTCCCCACTATCCTTATTTTGTCTCATGCTTGTACCGTTACCCTAAAGTGTTTCCCCCTATGGTATACATGAAGAAAAAGGAATCTCATTTCATGTCATGAAAATTGAGGTGTGTAATGTCTATTAATAATTTTTTTGTTTGCTAACAATATATCAAAAAATTTGGTTGCTAATAGAATACAATGACACCATGCAATTTACATAGGTAACCCCACTTAATGGGATAAGACTTGTTGTTATATATCTATGCACATGACATTCCACAATGAAAAATCACCTTTTTCTTCCATATCCTTCTCATTCCTCATAAACATTCGTCTGTCTCATATCCAGCCCCCACCCCAGAATACATTGAAAAAACTAAAAACATTTCTCTTCTATTAAAATATCCTTACAAATAATCTATTTTTCCAAATATTATAAATATTGGATTGAGAAATTCATGTACAACTCAATATTTTAATTCAAAATCAAACCTTTTTTTTTGAACTTACATTTGATTTTACCAATATGTTTTTGCTTTGGCCCAAATTTTAAACTATACGGAAGAAAGATATTTTTCTATGTAACAGTGAGTGACGGAAGATTTCAGTTTTTTTTTTGGCCAACAAAGATTTAGTTTAGTTGCGATCAAAACTTGGTTTCATTTAACAGCTACCTAATTCAGCAAAACACCACTGTAAAAATATGGCAGTTGCTTGATCTTGTGGTTCCTGTACGTCTTCGCAGACCTCAATATTTTATCACTCAATTTGGTATGACAACCTTATTCATCTACATGTATCAGCAGCCAGTGATGTCAGTAGAGTTTAGCTTACTATCCACTTTGCATTGTTGGCTAAGTCAACATTTCTTGAATTTACTGAATTTGGTGAAGAGCCTTGGGATATTTGGTGTGGAGGAACGTGCAGTTAGCTTTGAAAATATCGGTATTCGCTATTTAAGGTCATCATTTTAGTGAGTAAAATCTGATCATTTGGTCGAAAGTTTTGAGATATGTCAAAGTTGAAGATTGTTGTGATCATGAGGACATGTGTTAGACCTGGAAGCTCCTTGGAGCAATTTTTGTAGTATAATTTGGTTCTATGGCATGACTTTGTCTTTCTTATGATTCTGTTTATGTATATGCAAATCAGGTTCACTTTTTTACGATGAGGGTAGATTTACAGTTCGTTTGGAGAAGCAGAAAGAGAGAATCAGAATTGCAATTCTGAAATTGAAAAGATCTCCTTCCATTTCTTTCTTTTTGGCTTGGAATATTCACTCTCTTTAAGTTTGAACTTTTGGTCTTAAACCTCATGAAATTTTTGATAGTTTTGGAAGTTTCAAATTTCTTTAGGTTTCTTAACAATCCACAACTTGTTTTTTTAAAGCTTGCCGTGTGACAAATGATGAAAATGAAATGTAGGAAGCTAACAAAGGGGAATAGTATTTTTTCCTTCTGGGGTTGTATGATCATATAGACTTTTTGAGTTGACTAGTTGAGCATCTCTTCAATACTGGAATCTATTAGGGGTTTTGGTTTAATTCTATTATTTCCCCCTATATCACAGGATCAAGCAGCTGTGGTGAAGCAAGAAGCCCAGCTAGTAATCATCCATTGCAGGAGCAAAGCAAACAGGATTTGGCAGGTTCATCGGGGGCAAAGACAAATGACAATGTGATCAGAACTTCCAGGGCTGAGCCAGAGCATCCAGCCAAGAAACCTGACTCTTGTCAGAAGCAAGGGAGGGAAATCGGGATAAGCTCGATGGAGGACATGCCCTGTGTTTTCGCGAAAGGGGATGGTCCCAACGGGAGGAGAATCGAGGGAATCTTATACAGGTATGGCAAAGGTGAGGAAGTGAGGATAATGTGTGTGTGCCATGGGAAATTCCTGTCACCAGCTGAGTTTGTGAAGCATGCTGGTGGTGGTGATGTTTCTCACCCACTTAGGCACATAGTTGTGAACCCTGTCCACACTCCCTTTTTGTGATGACAGTGAGTTGCTCCTTATGTTCTGCAAAAGTAGGACAGAATCATAGGGATGATAATATTTGAGTGAAAAGAATTATAATTTGTTGCTGAATCATGTGTAAATGTTTTGCTTGCTTTCTGCATGAGCATTAGGATTATTCATCAGCTTGGCAGTAGCCTGGAGATCTTCTTGTTATGTTTGTTATTTTGTCTCACCGTGTTTAATTGAGTGATAAATTCAGAATGTGTTTTCTTGGTGGTAAGAAGCTGTCACCTGTGTAAGTACGGCTGAAAATGTTAGGGCAGCACAAGAAATATTTAAGGTGATTCTGAGATGAAATTCATTGGAAAGTTATGTTAGTTGAGACGTTTATGGGGAGAAAATTTTAGATTCAACCATTTCCGAAGTAACCAGAGTTACATCTATTTTTTTATTTCAATTCAAGAGTTCTTATGTGTTTCCACGTCCTTTCGAGACCCTGAAAAATGGACAAATTCTTTTTCTTAGGAACACATATAAGATTTGTTACCACAAAAAGGATAATGGTAACCCTACCATTAACTATTTCATTTATAAATTTTATAGTAATAGAAATACATGTCCTCCCAAGACAGCATTTGTAACGCCTTTTGATATAGCGATATGAGTGGGTTAGATTCGAGTATTGTTAGACCTAATTGGGAGTAGTTCTGGTATTTTTTGCATTCACACATACTCGAATTTGATTTTTTCTACTAGGATCAACACTTGTTAGTTATTTTCCCCTAATTGAGTTTGTAAAATATTACTTTTTTGGTCCTTAATGTAAGACTTAATTAATTAATTTGAGCAGATTAAGGATGTTAGTTAAATTAGTTGATATGATATATTTTTTCTAAAATATAAATTATCTTCTTTAATTTGTTCATTCCTTCTCCTATTTGATTATTGTTGAGAGAATATCAATAAGGTTTATTTGAAAAAAAATTCATAAACACATGAAATAGGTTTTAATCAAATCTCAAATTAGGTTCTACATTGTGGATGGGTATTATTATTATTTTTTTTAAGAGAATCTAATAGTAAATTATGGGGGGAAAAGGTCAAAATGCATGAGCTACGCAATCTATGCTATCTCCCTCAATGGTGATTACAATTTATGAATCCCATATACCTTAACTCGAGCAGCATTGGCCAAGCACATTTTAATATATCTTTGCTTGGGAAAAAATTTGTATTTTCTGTACTTCCTGTAATTTTAATAGAATTTAAACAATAAAATAAAAATTGCACGTAATTTTGGTAAAAATTGAGAAATAATTTATATTTGATTTCTGAAGAAATCTCTAACTTAATTTACTATAGTATATTATATAAAAAAAATTAAAGTTATTTTTGCCCTCAAAGTATTCACAAAAGAGTTGTAAGTATTTAGAAGTTATTTTTTTGTCTCAATGTTAAAGTGTTAAAAAAAGAGTTAAAAAAAAGAGAAAAATGTTTACTATTTCAAAAAAAAATTAACACTGACTATTTTTTTAAAATATATATATTTGGATGATACTGAGTATGAAAAATAAAATTTATTGTGAATACTTTGAAGGTAAAAGTGACCCTTAATTCTATGTAAGATTCATAACTGCAGTAAATTATGCTATTTTATTGACTATAAATGATGCAGTTTATTCGGATTTTGTGCAATGCTGAGGTTCATGTCTTATTAGTATTGAATTTTAGTCTATCTAACTATCGAAGACTAGCATCTAGATAGATGATAAGCTTTGGACCACTGAAAATCTAATATATAAAATCCAAAATAAATCCTATAGTGTAACTTAATTATCTGATTTTGTAATCTGTCATGGGACCTACACCTTATTTTTACCTAAAAGTTTTATAAGCTTTAACTTTACACGCGACCAAGAATATTTCTTTGCATATTAGGTACCAAGATTAAAAATTAATTAAAAAAAAAGAGATAAAGCATGTAATAGATCTTCACTTTGAAATATTCATATAATAAAGTATATATTCATAGAGTACATCAATTTTCAAAGTTCTCAAGTTGGAGAGCATATTTCATACACCTTCAATTCATTTTATAATACTTGCACTCTTGTCACTGAAATATTGAGACTTAGAGGTAGGTTTTAGGTTTACTTTTATTTTTGTTCTTTTGTCCTCACAAATACAAGAAGGAACTTTACTGTCAACTTACCTTAATGAATAGGATATATTATTACTTTAATATTTTTCTTACAAAAAATCACATTCAGTTTGTTTTATTTAAGCTGAATTACACTAAACTCTAATAAATTTTGAATTATCTTCAAATAAAGCCTCTAACTTTTAGAACTTAACAACTAATCCACCTAAGCTTTCAATTTGTATGGATAGTTATCCCCTTAATTTGTATTTTTGTGTGTATATAACCCTTCAAACTTTGGGTTATATGCATATAAACCCCTTAACCTTTAATTTATGTATAGATAAATAATGAATAAGGCTAATAATAGAGGTGTTATTTGTATAAATATAAAAGCTTAGGAGAATTTATTGTAAAGTGTCAAAACTTGAGAAAATTATCTATCTATATAACACAAAGTTTAGGAGATTTCATTTAATTGAGCTTTCTTGATTTCAAATCAATATCATCCTAAAATCTCCTCCACCCAAGCCGCATCTTTTCACACGGCTCCACAATGGCTCTAGACCCAATTAACTAATCATAAGAAGTTTGTGGCTTGAGTGCCCCAAAAAAAAAAAAAAGGCTATCTCAGCTTTTGGATGAGCTTATTGATATGAAAATATAAGGGTTAGGCTTTGTGCTAGCCAATAATCCTGAATCAGCCTAGTTCCTTGAACTAGGTTTTCTAATTGGTTCTATTGTATATCTTTCTCTGTTCTTTTTTCGAATGCCTACTTTCTTCCTTACGTATTCTCTTGGAAACATGCCCAAAAAAAAAAGAGTTAAAAATTTGTAAATACCAAATAAAAAATATTAACAAAAATTTGTTGTTATTTGCAAATTCAGTGGTATCGATATTAAATAAAATATTGTTACCAAACCTGATTGGGAATTTAGTAATTTTCAGCTTCCTTGTTTTGTCATTCTCCCTATTCTCTTTCCCTTTTCTTTTTTTGTGGTTGCAGCCAAATAGGAGGGGAAAGAAATTACAAAGAATAACAAGCAAGAAGAAAAATCATAGTAATCAACTGAGCCCATAATCAAAGCTCCTTATATCCTATTCAAGTCTTCTTCGTCTCCCTCTAATTCAAATTTAAAATTCAAACTCTCAAATAACTTTTTTCATAAGGCAAGATAGGAGCATTCTCATCTCAAACCCTAGTTCATTTTCTCCTTCCAAGATTCCGTTTTTTCTTTGTCTAGTCCCATTGTTTGCTGCTTCTTTAACTCACTCTTTATCTTCTCCTAAATAAGGCATTGGATTTTAGACGTCCAAGAACTCATGCCTTTTACTTTTTGGTAATGATTTTTGCTCTTTGAAACGTGAAGCCTTCTTTCCTTTCGTTGTTTTCTTCTCCTTCTGTTGGTTTAATTTGGGTTGGGATTTTGTTTCTTTTTTCAGTTACGGTTTAGTTCAAGAAGAGACCTGGCAATTCCTTAATGTTCAAGTAGCGACAACCTTGAGGAATACTAAATCCATAAAGCACATGTCATTTTCAAATAAATTATAATCATTTTTCATTAATGTATATACTATTTCTTGTTATACATAAGGAAAAGATACATTGTTAATCTCAAGTTTAGACTTGTTATTTCCAGTAAAGATGTATTATTTTCAAATAAATTATGGTCATTTTTAATTAATATACATGCTACTTCTTGTTATATATCAGGAAAAGTTACTTTGTTAATATCAAATTTAGACTTGTTATTTCTCAACTAAGACTTGTCATCCTCAGGTAAATTGTTGTCATGGGCTAGAGTCAAGTAAAAGAGTCAACTTATATTTTTGTTTGCATTATAAAGCTAAGAATTCTTTGATGGCCTAACGGTCATTTTTTTGGTTGGCCCAAATGACCAAGGGGTTGTGAAATCAAATTCTACCCCCGCCACTTTGAACCAATATTCTCCGATGCAAAAAAAAACTGTGACAAAAAAACTCTACCAACAGCCACCACACCGGTACCCAGCGGCTGCTGCAGGCCGCCAGCCATCAGTGAGGGGCTGAGCTTTTTTTTTTGAAAAAAGAAAAAGATAAAGAGCATTTTTGTTATTTCACAGAATTTCAAAATTCTAATTTGGGAAGGACTTCCCTCTCTGCCATTACATTTTCTTAGCTTTTCAAATTAAAATACTATCTCCGGTCCTAATTATAAAAGCTAGTTGACTAATTTGAAGAGATTAAGGAAAGAAGTTAAGTTAGTTATTCGTAATAAATAGGTAGTGTCTTTTCTAAAATATCCTTATTAATCAAGTGTATTGGTTAGAACTGTTATTGTTAGAAGGAATATCTTAGAAAGAAATCCATAAATATGAGAGATAAAGTGGATTTGGGTCTTATATTTAGGACTAAAATAAAAGTTAAACAAGGTCTTATATTTAGGATTGGAGGTAGTATCACATTTCCACCTTCTTTACCTATCATTTTTCCTATAATTTTTTGTCCTTCAAATTTGCTCTTATTTTGATTTTGATACATTAAGTTTTAAATAATGGGTTTTAGTCTCTCAAGTTTTTTTTATTTAAAACATTGGTTTCAAGAACCTATGTTTTAAATAAAAAGAAACTTGATGGACTAAAATCAAAATGAAGACAAATTTAAAAAATAAAAAAAAATATTAATCCTAAATTTTATATTAGACGTTGGATAATGGATACCAACATATTGCCTACAAAAAAGCACTTTTAAAGCATATTGACAAAAAGTTACGCAAGTTGCTTTTGGTGTATGCTTTGATGACATTATTAAATACTTATTATGATCTAATATGAAAAGGATATACAACTTTTATGAGGCCGTTCTCCTGGGATATGTCCATGATTAAAAGTTAAAATTCGCCACAAAAAAAAAAAACCAAAGTTAATATTTATGAAAAAAAAATTCAGTTGTGAAAAAAAAACTATGAAAATTGAATCTTTGAATAGTAAAACAAAAATTAAATGTTAAAATACTAAGTGATTGTTTATTGTAGGGATATTCACAAAATGGTTCAAGACTGCTCCATCTCAGTGAATAGTAACGAGACAGGATTTTTGTTCTATGTCCCGTCCTTTTCTGTGGCTGTTGGGATTGGAACAGGACGGGACGTTCTATCACTTTTTTTTTAAAAAAAAAAAGTATTGCAAATTGTGTTAAAATTATGGGTCTTTTTTTGTTTTTGAATGTTATAGTGTTTATTTTTATTGAGTTTTTGCAAGATAAAAACACTTAAAAAAATTATTATGCAAAAAGCCTAAATTACAAGGAAAAAAATCATACCTTTAACAATAAAAAAATCACTGGAAAAAAAGCATTAATATTAATTTAATAAGTAAATTTTTTTAAAATAAATAAATATCTTGGGATGAGAGGATCACGTCCCGCATCCTGTCCCATGCTAATTACTACCTCTAATTTTTAATATAAGATTTTATTTGACTTTTATTTTGATCCTAAATATAATATTCCAATTCACTTTGTCTCTCATATTTATATTTTTTTCTCAAAGTAATCCTTCCAACAATGGTAGTTCTAGCCAATACACTTGATTAGTAAGGATATTTTAGGAAAGACAATATCTATTTGTTATGAATAACTAACTTAACTTTTTTTCTTAATATTCTCAAATTAGTCAACTAGCTTTTATAATTAGGACCGGAAATAATATTATCTTGTTCTGTCCTGTAGCTATCCCATCTTGAATTGATCGGGACTGGAATGGGAAAATGGGGATAAGATAAGTTGAGCACTCCTGATTTATTGTTTTTTCCTTTTATTGATGTGCAATGCCACCTCAAACTTTATCTTAGTGCGTCTGGGATCAAATGCCTGCGTGCTTTTTAACAGCCAAAGGCTTCCTTTTCCATAATTTTCTAACTTGACGAGATGTTTTGAATTGGCCCCTTATAATAATTGTTATTTTCAAATTTGCCCCTTAACTTGACCCGTTTTTATCGGTTCTTTCCTGAACGATTGCTCAGTGGGCATTTGAGCTCCCCCACCCGTTCGCTCTTTTTTGTTTTCTGAGTTTGGTCATGTATTTATTATCTATAAGTATTCTGATATTAAATACAAGAACTAGTAAAAATAATTTTTTTAACATAAATATAATATTTTAATTCACTTTATCTTCCTTTTTTTTTTTCAATTTTTTCTTATCAATTATACATATTAAGAAAATTCTTCATTAAAAGAGTACTAACCGGTACACATAATTAAGAGAGGTTTTCTAAAAGAATTAATACTTTTTTTTTTTTACGAACAACCAACCTAATTAATTTTCTTAATTTCTACAAATTAGTTATCAAGTTCTTATATGCAGGACTGGAGAAAAAAGTTTTCATTGTAAGAAAATAGAAATATCCACAGAAAATAATAGAAACTAATGAGATATTTCATATTTCATCTGAACAAATGCACTTCATCTGAAGTCCTTCTTAGGCGTAAATGTATACACAGAGGGACAGCTCTGTAGTGAGCAGGCTATCCATGTGACAAAGATCAAATGAAGTAACAATGAATTGAGAGTTCTCACATAAAATCAGTTGTCTTTTGTTAATCTACAGTAATTTTACAATGAGAAGTAAAAGGATCTGAAAACTTCAGAAATTTTTTTTTACAAATTTAGTTCTACTTGCATCTCTACAAGAAATATCATTCACAGTTCCTTGTGGCGAATGGAGATCAGGGTCCGAAAGAAATCATCATCATCATCTCCATTTCCTCTTCAGAACAGCAAGAAAGTAGCAATTAAAAGACGAGGAAGAAAAGGTAGTTTCTAAAACGCAGGTGACACCCAGGATTCTCTTTTGATTACACAATCTAGAGATGAATCCTATGGGTATGGGAAATGGAATCTGATCAAACCTAAATACCTGAAGACGGTAACTAAACCAAAAACGTGTATGAAGTCTATGAAAGTCAGTCCCTCAACAACAGCAACAACAAAATTTGCCCGACGAAGTTTTCTCAGGGGTTTTATCAAATGATTGGTGTCTAGGACTATCTGTCTGTGAACAACAATTTTCTCCGGAACAGCAAGACCAAGAGCAACAGTGGAAACAATTGGAAGTTGAGCTGGATGTCTTTTCAGAGGCTTTATCAAGAGATTGGTGTCGAGTATTATCTGTCTCTGAACGGCAGCAGCAAAAGCAAGACCCAGAGAAACATTGGAACCAAATGCAACAATGGGAAGTTGAGCTGGAATTCTTTTCAGAGTCTTCATAAGATCGCTGTGGAGGACTGTATGTCAGTAAACTCGAACATTTGCCCCATGAACAGCAAGACCAAGAGCAACATTTGAAGCAACTGCAACAACTTGAAGTTGAGCTGGAAGTCTTTTCAGAGGCTTTATCATAAGATAGCTGACGAGGACTATCAGTATGTGAACAACAACGAGTACAACAAAGCCAAGAGAAGCACTGGCACAAATTGCAACAATTTGAAGTTGAATCTGAAGTCACTTGAGGACTATCTGTCTTCACAGAATTATGATATTTCACTTCTGATAAACTGAAACAATTTCAAACAAGTTAAATCAATGAGCTTAAATAGATTGAGGAGAAACTAAAAGGACTTCCTTGAGAATCGAAGGACAATTACACCCTATAAAGTATGTACAGGGATCAAATCAGATAACAAGGGCATAATATTGACCAAAAGGAGATAAAATTCCAAAATACGTTGAACAAAATGAAATAGAGAAGAGAGAAAAGCGAAGTGCTATAAAGGCTTTGAATTTGATGTTAAAAATGTCTCATAGGGTGGACCAAAAGAAACATACACAGGAGAAGCATGCCAACAACAGCAGAGCGCCAAACTACATTTCAGGCAGGAACAGCTAGGCCATGAAAGGCAGCAACTTGGCAACTTAAAGCGGCAGAATTCCTGACTAGAAATGAAACAGCAGCATAATGGTTCTTCCTGCTTCTTTTCTTTGCAATGCACAGAGGTTCTTGTTCTGTATTTTCGGCTGAAGAGGTTCTTGTTCTTAGATTATAGACATACAGTAATGCATGCACATTTTGTGGTATGGGAACAGATGCTCAACATAGAAACATAGTGACAAAATTGACATTTAGGTTCTATCTACTCTTATACTGTTGCAGGATAATAAAGGTATACAAGTTTCTATCAATTAGTGCAAATCACAACTACAGGAACGTGCATTACATGTTTATCACATATTTTGTGGAAGTGAAATATAATGTAAATGAAAAATGAAATAGGCTCACATTGGTAGAGCAGAGGACTGCGCTCCGATTCCATTGCCATGGGAGTTGTAACTTACGGCTGGATGTGAATTCTTTATCTTGTTTTTGTTTTTATCAAGGCTTCTTTCTAACTCGAAATCTTCATCTGACATTTCAGTTGTTTGTGAGCCCTCTATCTCAACGCTCTTTCTGCAGGTGTCTCTGTCCTCTATTAGAACCGAAGGCTGTGGGCTAAACATATTCAACTCACCAGATTTAGTCACTTCAACAGACTTGCGCAATTCAGGGGCTGTAAACAAATGATCTCTGGCAAGACTATGGTTCCCTAGTTGAATGCTAAACAATGACTCATCAGAATCATTGGTCCAATCCATAGGATTTGTATTGATTGCAAAAACTGAAGATGGAATCCTGTAGGAATCATGTCCTGATGATCGATCCATCACTTGGACAGGGGGGGCAATAGTTGGGGACATGCTCACATGACTACGGTTCAAATTGTAACTTGGAGATGTTGATGCACGAACTGTGAAGTCCTTGTCAGGTTCAGAATTGATAGAGCTCTGATGAGAGACATCACTTTCTTCATCTTTTGATGCAAATTTAGATGATGAAGATTCAGCAAAGGTACTTTTTCTAGTTTGGAAGAAATCATTTGATGATGATTCTGATGAAGAGGAAAAACTCGATGCTTCATCTGGAACCAATATGCTTTTAGTGTCATTGGGATCTGTTTTTAAGTAATCATTGTTGCCACTTCTTGATATTTCAAAGTTTTTTCTTTCACCTCCAGTGCTTTTAGACCTCCCATGAGAGACAACACTATCTTCATCTTTCAAAGCAGATTCAGATGCTGACCATTTGACCAAGTTAACTTTTCTAGCTTGTAAGGAATCATTTGATGCTGATTCTGATGAGGAGGAGGAACTTGATTTTCCATCAGGAAACAATATGCTTTTAGTGCCGTCGGTATCCATTATCAAGTAACCATTGTTATCATTTCTTGATATTTCTGGGTTACCTCTGTCACCTCCAATGCTTTTAGAGGTCCCATGAGATGCATCTATCTGTACACCTTTTGATGCAGATTCTGATGCCGAAGATTTGCCAAAGTTAACTTTTCTAGCTTGGAAGAAATCATTTGATGATATTTCCAACGAAAAGGAAGAACTTGAGGTTTCATCTGCAACCAATTTGGTTTTAGTGCCGTTGGTATCTGTTTTTGAGTAATCATTGTTAACACTTCTTGATATTCCTGGGTTTTCTCTTTCACCTCCAACCTCAACACCAATTAGCTCTTCTGAATCCACACTGCTCTCACGCCCATCACATGCCTCGTAATTTAAATCAGAAAGATTACCGGATCCTTTTCCATGGGGAGTTTCTGAAGATCCTTTTACATGCTTGTCATTTGTGTTCTCATTAAATGTCTCCGTAAGCATTACTGATCACTTTCTTGCCCTTTGATAACTCCTGCATGAGTGCATGAATGCATAAATTACTACTGGTCATGTTCCAAGTCCTCAATAAGTGAAATTTGCTGACCTTATTCTCACTTTTTAGGTCACATTAGTGTGAGGAAAAATGAAATAGACAACTGAAATTTCCAAGTTATGGGTAAAGGATCATTTTATTTGAAAAACAATAAAAGAAAATGAAAGAAAAGCAAAAGAAATAGGTTCAGTCTCAACAAAAAACTATGCAAACAACAATTCTTCATCCAATCGAAAGCAACCTCAAAAAAAAAAAAAATATCAGGAAATATCAGGGCTTCGCACACAAATCGTTTACGGCATCCCAGTATCCCATTGCAAACATTTCAATGGAGGAACGTAAAATCCCATCGGGTGGACGGTTGTTCCACCGCTTATATTTCATTTCTTCTCTAACGCAACTTCGTTCAATTTCAAATACATTTCCCTTATTTTCTCTCCCAGTTGTAAGAAGCAACAATCATAAAAGCAAAAGGGACCCATAATATATGTCAGAGTAACTTACTGAGCACGTCAAGCCGCAAAATTTCATTAGCCGGAAGCGGCACCGGCCAATCAGCAGTCTCCTTATACCAATTCCGATCTACAATTCGCAACACATTTCCCCAAATAAATTGGAAAACAAAGTTGAAGTGTCGAAATTCAACATGCATTAAAAATTTGGACAGCAATAACCCCGCAACTTCAAAACCCAAAACGTACCGGATAAAACACCTCCCTATTGGTTACGGAGATTCGTGGGAGATTGACGAATCGGATCAAGATCGATTGAGAAACTAAATTTCTGCTGAAGATATGTTCGAAGCTGTCTGCATACTTTCCTTTGTTGGCTGCATTTCACCCTCGTAACGAAATTGGTTGTGCAAAATTGGGCTAACATAGCAACGCCAGCTCGGAACTTAAGACCATGTGGAGGATTTGACGAGGAAAAGCCCCGCGGAATCATCGGAGTTTCTGATTCAGTTCTCTGAGTAACGGCTTCTGCGTTTGGCGCCATATCCACGACAAACCCACTCGGTCCGTCTTTGATCGGGGCCTGGGTGTCGTCGAACGGTCGAAGGAACACGCGCTCCCCCCCACCCCCTAACAATTTGTACACTCATTTCTATTTTATCAGAGAAAATCAATGGCCTGCCCTTGCTTGATTGGAAACTCGATCTAAAGATTGTAACTCAATTTTCATATTAAAATATTGATTCTTATATTTTAAAAATAAAATTATTAAGGAATTAATATTTTAAATGATTAAACATAATTGAATCAACTCCGCCTATATTGTATAGCCGGTCCCAAGCCCGGATAAAGAAGGAGAGTTGTGTTAGGCGCTCGACAGCCAACGTAAAAACCCGTCAAACATCATGAACATGGATCAACGAAGTAATTACGCTAATGCTAGGTCGTTGCCCAGAAGTGACGCGCTGTATGGCTCGAGTACAGTGAGAAATGAGCTAGAGTCGCTGCATCGTCGCCTGGATGTAGTGTTAAATGAGCGAGAGCTACCGCACTCTCTTGGACGGAGGCAGCTAAAGAAGTTAGTTCATGAGACTGAGATTAGATTTGGCACTTGGAATATTGGGATGCTGAATGAGAAATCTATGGAAGTAGCAGGAGTTATGAGGGACAGAAGGATTAATATCTTGTGCCTCCAAGAAACCAAATGGACTAGAGAAGCTGCCAAGGAACTTGGAGAGTATAAACTTTGGTATACAGGAAAGGTGAGTGCAAGGAATGGGGTTGGTATCATCGTTGATGGAACATGGAAAAGAAACGTGGTACAGGTTAAAAGGTTTGAGGACAGAATAATATCGTTAAGAGTAATTGTTGGAAAAGATACTATCAGTATTATTAGTGCCTATGCACCTCAGGTTGGGGCAGAGACACACCTTAAAGATAAGTTCTGGAAAGATATGGAGGGGTTGGTTCAAAGCATACCACTCGAAAAAAAAGTTTTTATCGGTGGGGACCTTAATGGATATGTTGGTAAGGAAGCAAGACAATTCAGCAGGGCTCATGGTGGTTTTGGTTTTGGGGAGCTTAATAGTGGAGGACGATCTATTCTCGACTTTTCTCTTGCATATAATCTTAAGATTTTCAACACTTGTTTTAAGAAGCGAGAGGAGCATTTAATCACGTACAAAAGTGGTGTCTCAAAATCACATATTGATTTCTTTTTGGTTAAGAATCCAAACAGAAGATTGTGTACTAATTGCAAAGTGATTCCAGGAAATGGGGTGACTGCCCAACATAGAGTACTTATTCTTGATGTACGTTTTAAGAGTACCAAGCAAAAGTACCATCTAGTGGTAAAACCCAGAATTAGGTGGTGGCAGTTAAAGGGTGAGAAACGAGAGTTATTCAAAAGGACCCTTTTGAAGGAAAGGATTTGGGAGTCGCAGGGAAATGCAAACATGATGTGGGAAGAGATAGCTACAAGGGTTCGTTTGGTAGGTAAAGAAATTTTGGGAGAATCCAAAGGTCCTGGTCAGAGAGATAAGGAGACTTGGTGGTAGGATAAGAGTGTGCAAGAGAAAGTCAAACAGAAAAGAGATTGTTTTAAGGCCATACACTCGTGCAATAGTGTAGAAAATCGGGAAAAGTATCAGTTGGCTAAAAAAGAGACGAAGAAAGCAGTGAGCGAAGCACGTACTAAAGCTTATGAAGGGTTTTATCAGGAGTTAGGAACAAAGACGGGAGAAAGAAAATTTACAAGATTGCGAAGCAAAGGGAGAGGAAAAAGAGAGATCTGGACCAAGTAAAGTGTATAAAGGATAAAGATGGTAAAGTGTTAGTTACTGATGGTGATATTAAGGACAGATGGAGGCTTATTTTTACAAGTTGTTTAATGAGGGAAGCAATTATGCGACTCAGGACTTACAGGACTTGCAAATTAACGAAGATGGTCGGAATTTGACTTTCTACCGCAGGATCCATATCGGAGAGGTTAAGGCAGCTCTTAAGAAAATGGACAATGAAAAAGCCGTTGGGTCTGATGGTATCCCTATTGAAGTTTGGAAGTGTCTAGGAGATGAGGATGAGGTGTGGCTAACCAAGCTTTTTAATGAAATTTTACGCTCTAAGAATATGTCGGATGAGTGGAGGAGAAGCATTTTAGTTCCTATTTACAAGAATAAAGGAGACATTCAAAACTGTGCAAGCTATAGAGGGATAAAACTTATGAGTCATACAATGAAGTTGTGGGAAAAAGTGATGAAATATAGGTTGAGGCTGGAGACTTCTACTTCAGAAAACCAATTTGGATTTATGCCAGGGAGATCCACTTCGGAAGCAATCTATTTACTAAGAGGGTTAATAGGAAGATATAGAAGTAAAAGAAGGGATTTACATATGGTCTTTATTGACCTGAAAAAGGCTTACGATCGTGTGCCAAGAGAAGTAATGTGGAAGGCTTTGAAAAAAAAGGTGTATGGGTTGCTTATATCAAAGCCATACAAGATATGTATGAGGGGGTAACTACCAGTGTAAGGTCGCCTGGAGGTGAGACAAATGACTTTCCTATTCAGATTGGCCTACATCAGGGATCTTCTTTGAGTCCGTACTTGTTCAATATTGTTCTGGATGGTCTAACTGAACCTATTCAAGAAAGAAGCCCTAAGTCCATGCTTTTTGCGGATGATATAGTTCTCATGGCGGAATCAAAAGAAGAGATTAATACTAGATTGGAGTTATGGAGAAGGACTTTGGAGTTAAAAGGTTTCCGCTTGAGCAGGAACAAAACAGAACATATGCATTGTGATTTTGGGGGGAGGCAAGGCAATGGGGATTTGGAGGTGAAGATGGGGGAGCAAATCATTCCTTAAGTATCAAAGTTTAAATACCTAGGATGCATTATACAAGAGGATGGGGAAATTGATGGAGACGTTTCTCATAGAATACAAACTGGCTGGTTAAAGTAGAGGAAAGCTACCGGAGTTATTTGCGATAAGAAGGTATTTGAGAAACTTAAAGGAAAATTTTATCGGACTGCTATAAGACCGGCTATGCTGTATGGTAGTGAATGTTGGGCAATAAAAAAAAAACAAGAGCACAAAGTTAGGATAGCAGAAATGAGGATGTTGAGATGGATGTGTGGTCATACAAGAAAAGATAGGATTCAAAATGAAAATATCAGAGCAAAAGTCGGGGTGGCACCTATCCAAGAGAAAATGGTTGAAAATTGCTTAAGATGGTTTGGACATGTGCAGAGAAGGCCATTGGAAGCCCCGGTGAGGAGGGTGGATCAGATAAGATGGAGTCCCATAAAAAGGAACAGAGGAAGACTAAGAAGAACGCTTAATGAGGTCATTGAACGAAACCTCCTAGTCAACAACATATCTAAGGACTGGGTTGTTGACAGAACACGATGGCGTCGTGTGATTTATGTAGCCAACCCCACCTAGTGGGATAAGGCTTGTTGTTGTTGTTGTTGTAAACATAATTGAATCTCAACTGAGTCAAAACTATCAGGATTAAGGAGCACTGAAATAAAATTTTGCACTGAAATAAAATTTGATTAATTTTTCTTTTTTATTATTACGAGGGGTATTTTAGAACCTTTCTTTTCATGACATAAGAGGTAAAGCAATGTTTTTTAATGGTTAAACATTTTTATCTCTAATTTTATTAACAAGTCTTTTAAAAAAGTGTATGTAATTATATATATTTTTAATATACGTAAACAATATTCAAAACACTTTATAATAAAAAAACTAGAGGAAGAGCCCATGTATATACGCCCTGTTTAAAATTATAAGTCATTTTTAACTAATTTACATTCTTAATAATTTAATTAATATCATTAAATATTTTTTTGTATTTATCCTCATATAATATAGTGTCTCATATAAGAAATATGAAAAGGTCTGATGCTCAATTTTTAAAACTCGAGTAATTTTTAAAAAATGTTATTAATTATATTTTGAAAATTCAAATATACCTTATTTTAAAATATAATACTTCACAATAAATGTCTTCTAATTTGGGAAAGTTGGTTAAATATCACTATTTGACAAATTAATTAGAGAATAGGACTTGTAATATGATAGTAAAATATCACTATTGTGTGGGGCCTTAAGTGTCAGCAAGTACGATAGTAAAAAAAATTACATTATCCTGAAGATGTTAATTACATGTGACGAGTGCTAAATATATACTACCTCTCGTTTTTAATATAAGTCCTAGTTTAATTTTTATTTTGATTTTAAATATAAGACTCTAATCCACTTTGTTTCTCATATTTATGTATTTTTTTTCAAGATAGTCTTTCTAATAATGATAATACTAACCAATATACTTGATTAGTAAGGATATTTTAGGAAAAACAACATCTATTTATTACAAATAACTAACTTAATTTATTTTCTTAATCTCCTCAAATTAGTCAATTAACTTTTATAATTAGAACCGGACATAGTATAATTGATGCTCATTTGAATATGACTAATTACATATTATGGATTTGTATATGACTTATTACATATAATTTAAATTAAATGTTGTATGCAAGTAAGCATTGGCCATATGCCTATTTACATATGGGTTTATTGTAACTTATTTGTAGAGGATGTAATTCTCTCTCAGTTTTGTGCTCTATATCTTCATCTATGTGTAAATATCTTCCACTTTGCCTATAAAAGAAGATGTATACAGCTCCCATTCAGTGGATGCAATTTTTTTTAGTTGCGTGAAATGTTTTCTCAACTATGTCCAAAAATGTTCAAAATGAAAGACAATTTGCGCACTGCTGAGCAGCTGAAAATGAGTTGCTTCTCCTTAATAACTTGGGTACAAAAACAAATTTTAAGCACCTTTGCAATAAATATTTTAATGGGTTTTCTTTTCAGCAATTTTTTATGGATTAACCTTTTTCTTTTACATATTAACCTTTTTGTGATTATGGGTGTGTTTGGGTGACACCCCAAACCATGGTTTGGAGACCCAAACCATGGTTTGGGGAATAATCTACCCAAACACCCCCTCCAAAAACCAAAACCATGGTTTTGGGTCAAAACCATGGTTTTGGAAAAAGCAAATTTTTTTTGCTTTTGGAAAAAGAAGGGAGAGTGTGAGGGCCTATATGATATGTATCTTGTTATTTTTTTTATAAACATATTTTTTTATAAATATATTTAAACTTATATTTTATAAATATATATACACATTAATTATTTATTAATTATATTATCTTATGTATTATTAATTATGTTGGTAAAAAACATATTATTAACAATTTTATTCCTTCAAATTAAAATATATCATAAAATCTATTTTTTTTTGTAATTATCATATTAACTTATGTCTTTTTTTTAGTAATTTGTATATATAAAAAGTGCTTCTGATAACAACTATCCAAACACTCTCACTTCTCAGAATCACTTTTTTACAAAATCTATTCTTCACAGAATCTATTTTTCCCAGAATCTATTCTCCAAAATCACTTTTCCAAACCACGGTTTGGTTTCATCCAAACACACCCATATTTAAAATATGGGTTAAGATGCAATCAGTATTCTAAAATATTTTCTCGAGTACAACCACTACCATAAAGTATTTTGTAATGTATTCAGCATCTTAAAATAATTTTTTAAGTGCATAGCACAGTGAATTATTTTTTGCTGCATTTAGCACCTTAAAGTAACTTTTAAAGATGCGTCCAACATTCAAAAATATTTTTTGGTACATTTAGCACCAAGACAAAAAAAAAATATTTCAGGGCCCTGGATGTACCTAAAAAATATTTCAGGGTGTTGGATGTATCACAAAATATTTCAGGGTGTTAAATACACTCTAAAAAATATTTCAGGACACTAGATGCACCTTAACCCTTTAAATATTTTATGTATTTTAATTATATTATATTATTTTAACTATGATTGGTTAATTTCAATTTAGTCACATTAAACCCTTGTCTTGATTGGATGGGGTTGGTTTCTAGTAGCCCAAAAATACTTGTAGTTTAATGATATAAATGTTTTTTTATATGCCTCTCGTCCTATTTCAATGAATATGTCATTTTATTATTTATTTATTATTGTGTTGACTATTAACTTTATTTTTCCTCTAATCCATAATATATTATAAGTTATAAAAAATAGTTTGGTCCAAAATATAAGTCATTATATTTGAAGAATAATTAATTAATATTTATTTGTTAATTTTGTATCTGTAATTAGTGTTTAAATGCAACTCTTTATGTTTCTCTCTCTTTCCTTTGCAGTTTCATTCAATGTAGGTAAAGTCACAAAAATTTTCAATTTAAAACGTATTTAATGAGTTAATTACCATTTTTCATTGTGACGAATTAGATGAAATATATTAAACAAGAATACACTCCTTTGATCTTATTTATAAGTCACTTTCAATATGTTTTACATTGACAAAAAAAAACTTAAACTGCATTAATCTTCATTTAAAATTTAACAACATTTTAACTTTATTTTCATTTAATATATGTTATACGACATGAAAATAAAGTCAATACAATAATAAATAAAGAATAAAATTATGAAAAAAATCACAAAAAAAGACCATCAAAATTGAAGAATTATAGATATGGACTCGTTTACAAAAATTGTTATCAAAACCTATACTATTATTGTCAAAACCTGAAGTAATATTGTAGCAGGTCCCTATTTAAAATTTTTCTATTTCAGCGGTCTTTTGTTATGATTTTTCTTAAAATTATTCATATGAAAATTTTTTTTCCCTACTTTATAATTAAGATCATTTTTTTTTGTCTTCCTCTCCTATTAGGACTAGAGGAGTAATTACAAAGTTATTGAATTTCAAAAAATGATAGAAGTGAATAAATTGGACCCGAGGACTAGATGACAAGTCACGGTTGGATTGTTCTTGGAAGCCCATATATCCCGGCGAATGCTTATGACCACCAAACCGTTTAAAAAAGCCAATGAGAGTTATTTTCATAACTCATAGAATCATAAATTCAAGTCCCATTACTAATATAAAGATCTTGTTAATAGACAATTTGTATGTTGCTTCTGTAGGCACTCTGTGAACCTAAAATGATATAGAAACGCAATTCACCTAAATATTTTGGTACAACAAAATACTTGTTTGAGAAAAATGCCATAGAAGTCATTTTAAAAAGGAGGGAAATGGACAAATTTACTTATTATAATATTAAAAAAAAACCAGACACTATAATACTATATAGGGAAAAATGCGTATAAATTTTTAAAAAAACGGAGCAAAAATGTCCACGCCATTAACTGCTTCAACACGGACTGTTTAAGGAGAATATATTAACTGAAAAATGCTTATGCTGGTGCATACATGTCATAATAGAACGCCTTCGAGAGATCAGCCCTAGTGAACTTTTTCGGCCATGGCGGAGATGGAGAAGTAGAGAGCGAGCGTGGTTGAGGAGACGAATGGCAGCAGCGAGGAGGGGAGGCTCCTGGAGGGTATGGCTGATTGGGGAGGAACATGAAGAGAGCTGGTTTTGCTCTTCAAAATTCAAAATCGAGCTGAAAGTGAAGTGGCATGTTTTTACTGGAGGACAAATTACGTTGACACGATATGGGACTTTAAATAAATAAATAAAAAAGTTAGGAGAAATTGTAAAAAAAGATTTTGAAATTGTAAAAACACAGATAGGGATCATTGACAACTTCACTATAGCTTTTCACAATAATAATACGTTATGAAGTTGTCAAAACTGAAAGTGAAGTTGTCAAGGGTTCCTATCTGTGTTTTTGTAATTTCAAAGTTTTTTTTTTGTAATTTTTCCAAAAAGTTGCTGTCATCTTTCAGAGTTAACGAAAATGACATTTTTACTTTGTTTTCAAACGTTGATGGACATTTTTGTCCTAACATTGATAAATCTGTCTTTCCACCCCATAAAAAAAATGACATGGGGTCTGTCTCCTCGAGGCTCGCTTCCTCACGCACGGCACGCGCGCAGTGGAGCCGATTCGCATTTCGCACACCATAATTTCAAAGCATCCAAACTGAGAGGTACACTGTGAGCTTTTGTGCGCTGCCAGATACTAATTATCAAGTTTGTTTTTATTATCGTCAAGGCAATTCCGTTTCGAAGTTCCATTTTGTAAGGTAATCCATTAGTACTTGTTGAGTGTTTATTAATATCAGTGACTATTTTGTAAGTTATGTTTCCTCTTTAAACTTTCCTCTGGGGTTTCTTTGATTTCTCGCTGCTTCACTGGTGCTCTTTTTTTTTTGACGGCGTTCTGTCTTTTGCTCTGCTTCCTTCATCGACGTTATGAAAGCATATAATTCTTGTCTGAAGCAATCAATCAGAGGAACTGGGTATCGAAATTGTGAAATTTAGGATTTGTTGGGTGTCGGAGGTTTCCTGCAACCACTGAGAATCGAACTTACTTCCTTAGTCTGACTTGTCCTTAAGCTGATTGTCAGTCTAGGTATAGAACATTGACGGTTAGTTGATGCTCATGAAATCAAATACGGGTTCCTTGTAGACGATAGGATTAATGTTTTTGTCTGCTTTCCCATAATCGCAGCCATTGTTAACTTTGTAACAACTCTAAAGAAATGGATGAGGTAACTCTGATCGTTAAGACTGAGTCTTGCTTATTTCTTCCTCCACTCTCGATGCACCCCTTCCCCCTTCCTCTACCGTTTTCGAGAAAATGGATTGACTAGGTAAACAGTGAAATGTTTCCTTAGATTATTCACCAGCTAGTAAAAGCAAAGCCCTACCCCCTCTTTCCTCATTTCAGCGGGGATTAAAAAGATTATGGTTCTTTGTTTCTTACATTTGGTAGTTATTTTAATATTTTAATATAATTCCTTGAACTAATTAGCTTATTGTTTCAATCCTATATTTCGATCTTAGGGGTCACTGAGAAATGCACAAGAGATGGGTCATATCAACTGGTAGTTTTGGGTAAAAATCATTTTGTGTTGCTAACTTTGTACTGACTAAAAATGGGCACTGCCATAGCCGAACACACATCAGATCAGCAGCGCAAGTAGTTGTGAAAGGAAACTCCAATGGAAGAAACACGAGGCCGGGCTTATCCATCCCGTCAATCTGAATCTACCTCATCTCATGATGGTGGTGCAAGATCTGACGTCATTGGGCATGTGAATCATGGGTCTAATGTAAGAGGACTGAAGAAAAGAGGTCATGGAAGTCGTTCTTGGATAAAAATTTATCAGGATGGAAATTCGAAGACTGTGACACTTGACAAAGCTACTATTATGAGATGTTGCTCATTGCCTTCCAGAGATCTCCGACTATTGGATCCTATGTTCATTTATCCATCTACCATATTAGGACGGGAGAAGGCTATTGTAGTCAGCCTTGAACAAATCCGATGTATTATAACTGCTGATGAGGTTTTTCTAATGAATTCCTTGGATGGAAGTGTTGGCCAGTACAAGTCAGAATTATGCAATCGGCTTCAAAAAGAAAAATCTGGTAAGGATGTAGTTCTTTCTGCTGCCAAATATTGACATTTGGATGAGGCGGACTGGTGGGAAAAATAATAGAACTCGAGACTAATAGAGTTATCCTGTGGTCATATCTGTTTTGGTATTATCAGGGATAGAAGTAAAATGATACTGGAAAATTTGATTTCTTGCCTAAAGACAATATGTTTCCAACAAACCAACCTATGATAATGGCTTTGGTGGAGGTAGCAAGTGCATGAAATTGCTTATCGTGTTGCCTTTTTGATACAGATGATCTGCCATTTGAACTCAGGGCACTGGAGCTGGCTCTGGAGTTGACATGCTCATCTTTGGATGCCCAGGTGAATTGACCTGTACCTCTAATTATTGAAGGGACACCCAGAATATAGACTTGATGAATAATTTCTACGTGTTTACTTTTTATATAAAAATAGCAGCAGAGTTGATAGGCCTGTTAGTCTTGTGGTTTTGTGACTATGGTCTATATCATGCATGGTAAAACATTTATTGGCGGGATTTTATTAACTGTCATATGAACATCCATTTCCTGAAAATTCTAGATGACCCAGAAAACCTAATATTGAATGCTCTCTTCTGTCGTTCTTGTTCCTTTTGCTTTATTCAAGATCTATGCTTTGTTTTCTGTCCTTGCCTGTTATGAGGTGCATAACACTGTACTGGCAAGAAGGGGCAGTCATACATGATCCCTGTCATGTTCCCCTGGTTACTATTGGTAGTCTTGTTGACTACTATCACTGCACCACTGTCTCAATCTTTACCACTGAGCTTACCCCGTTTTACCAAGTGAATCTATGGCCTCACTGGGTATAACTTGAGTTTCTTTGACTTGAATTTAGCATATAAGTGTTATCAGTTACCAGCTTTAGTTAAGTGACGATTTCATCTACATCTTCTCACGTTAAGAAGGCTCTGGATTTTATAGGTGAAGGAACTAGAAATGGAAATGTATCCTGTACTAGATGAGCTAACCTCATCCGTCAGTACTCTTAATCTAGAACGTGTTCGGAGATTTAAAGGCCACCTCCTTGCATTGACTCAACGAGTCCAAAAGGTTTATAAGGATAATTTTCTTGCCCTTGAATGTGATATTTTCTCCTATTGCCTGCAACTAGTAATCTGTGTTTGATTCATAGGTTCGTGATGAAATAGAGCATCTAATGGATGATGATGGGGACATGGCTGAGATGTGCCTGACTGAGAAGAAGAGACGATTGGATACATACCCTTTAAGTGATCTTTTCCTTCAGACGCATTTATCAGGATCTGGAACAGTGATTTCAAAATCAGCTCCTGCTTCACCAGAGCGGACCTTGAGTGGCGCTGAGGTGTTGCAAAGGGCTTTCAGCAACATTGGAAATTCAAGTAAATATGGCAGCTTAGCTGGTTCATCTGATAATGAGGAAAAGATTGGACCACTTGAAATGCTGCTTGAAGCGTACTTTATTGTCATTGATAACACTCTTAATAATTTATTTTCGGTAAGATATATCTGAGTTTCTTGTAGTTCTTAAGTTTGCCCATATCGTAAAATTACAGTATCTTTATGCTGGATTTTATAGCTTTTGTAATAAATAATGTACTTATAAAGCTTGACTTTGACCAATCAGCTGTTGGGTAAGAAAGTTGCTTGTGTGACTATCTTTGCTCTTGTGGCCTCTGAATTTTGCTACTGAATTTTTTTCCCCTGCACGTCATGGTTGATGCAAAAATAATCTGTCCATGAGATGCATAATTTATTATGTAGCGTGCTTTGTGTAGATGCTGAAAATATTTTTCTTTTGTTGGTGATGCAGCTCAAAGAATATATTGACGACACTGAAGATTTTATCAATATAAAATTGGTAAGCCGTGATTGACAAGTTTAGCATTCTGCTATCTATTCCTTTTCTCTTTCACAATATAAATTATCTACCAAATAAAATTCACACTCAATATATATGACAGGGCAATATTCAGAACCGCCTAATACAATTTGAGTTGCTTCTAACAGCAACTACATTGCTAGCCACAGTATTTGCTGCTGTCACAGCAGTTTTTGGAATGAATTTTGAAACCACTGTATTTGACCATCCCTCTGGATTTCACTGGGTTTTGGTAGTTACTGGAATTGGCTGTGCATTAGTATACTTCTCCTTCCTATTCTATTTTAGGAACAAGAAAGTGCTTCCAGCATAAATTGTAACCTGCTGTAAATAGTAAACACTATACTGGATTGTATATCTAGTAAAACCGAGTCGGTCGCAGAACTCCATGATGAACGATAGGACAGGACAGGTTACACCAGACTCATCTATCTGGTGTTGATGGAAGAAAATCTACCCACAGCTTTAACAAGTTGGAACATGGCATGTATGAATTGAAACTTTCAGCCATCTCACCCCATTCAAGTTGCTAGAGTTGTACTTTGGCAACTATCCTTTGTGCAGGCCAAGATGGCTCTGTAATCCCTTGATATGCTGAAGGAGTCATAGACTTTCCCATCCCTGCTCTTTCTGTACTCAAACAAGAGATTTCAACTGTCAAATGCAGTGAGTTTTACTAACCCATAATCATAGTCTTTAAAGATACTCCATTTGGTTTTGAGAGTAGTGAATGTTGAAAGGCTTGCTCCACCACCACCTGTATGGTCCCATTTAAGGGTCGTTTGCAAGAGAATGAGAGAATTCGCACTTGACTGAGGAACAAGTAATGTAATCAGTGACATGTAAAATGGTGCTTTCATACAATGTCAAGGTTCCAACATGTGCAGGAGTCAACTATGCATAAAATGTAGAGTATCACATATTCACTTGCTTCCTTTGAGGGCATGAAGAAATTTTTTTTGGGGGGGGGGGGGATTTTAATGAGCTTGATTTACAAAATCAAGAACCTGTTTGGTTGGGTGTTTAAAAGCCCAAAAGTAGCTTATTTGTGGCCATATGCCCGATCGAAAAATTTGGACCTATTTGTTTGAGCTGTTGAGCCATCTGACGTATGGCCAGAAAGGAGAGTGAAACGCAGAATCTCCATAAGCCAGTATGAGGAGTTTTTTCTTTGGCTTCATTGTCACACTATATTGACTTAGTTCCTTTCAAAACCATTTTAGACCATATTAGATGGTTTTAGGCTCACTTTTTACTACAAAAACGCTAAATTTTGGATTTTTACTGTTCATCGGGTAAAAATCTAGTTTTTCTAGCCCAATTTCAAAAATTCATAATTTATTCCACAAAAATCCAATTGTGGTGGTTCAAAATTCTACTTAAAACTCTTTAAGTCCTCTTTCAAGGAAAAATAATCTCATTATCCAATTCCTTATGAAAAAACGTCAGATTTTTGAGAAATGCAACACTGTCCATTTGCCAAAAATCCTTTTTCCCATATTCTGACCTTTAACTTTGAAAAATTATTATAAATCGTATACTGGGCCATTTTTAACGTATTAGCTATCAAATTGAAGCTCAAGATGTTATCTTTCATCATGTCAAATTTCGTGACTAAACGCGTTCGGGAGCATAATCAAAAAGTCGCGTGAACCAGACAGTGTCAGTGTGCTTACAGCACTATTAGTATAATATGTACATAGCCAAAATGAGTTCACGAATTTTTGTGGCTAAACCCCACAAATTATCCTTCAATTTGCAGCTTTCCCTTGGAGGATTCAGGCACTAAAATGTTAGGTTGCATTTGGGGAATGAGATTTCATTAAAATCCCAATAGCAAATTAACCAACTATAGCACCAACAAACATCATCAACATGCACAATTATATTAACTACTATTGGTGAACTAGCATGTTTATCATTTGGCAAACTCAAACATGTAAAGGCCAAAGTAAGAAAGTGCAAAGAGCAACCACATTATAATAAAAAAAGTCCAACCACATAATAGCAATTAATCATGCAATAATCAATAATGCTAAGTTAGTATTAGTAGCTAGGTTTAACTTGCTACCTTGCTCCAAAAGCATTAGCTTTCTTTCCTTCTCCTCTTTTCCTTCACAAATATCAAACCCTAATAATGCAATCCATCAAAAAGTGCAGCAAGAATCATTAACCAACTAAGAAAAAGCAAGAACATAAATAAAAATGATTCTTGATCCATAAAACTCCTTCTTTTGTTCATCATTTTTGGAGTTGTTTCTCTTTATTCCTACATAGTTTTTCATGTAGATTCCAAATATGTGCTTAGATCTAGGAAAATAAAACTTCTTCTTTTAGCTACCCTTTGACCGAACCACTAGAGGATTTGAACCAAAAATCACAACTTTGCTTTAAAGCTTCCAACACTTGTTCCTTTTAGTTTACCCTACACCATTTCTTATTTTAAGCACTATAGAAGCCTTAAAACATTGAAAAACTCATCTTATGGTTCAGTCATTAACTTGGCCGAAAAGAATACTCAAAAAAACAACCATGAAAAATGCTTTAAAACAACTTATAATCACTTGCAAACACTAAAAACTAGTTTGTGTTGTTGTGTCTTAACAAGTGTGATGAACAAAACTCCCTTCCCCTCTAAACAATCAGTTCGGCCAGCATCAAAAGGAGAGGAGAACAGATTTTTCAACCATAAAAGAGAAGGAAAACAAGGCAAGAACACATCTAGGATCAAGAACTCACCTTAAATCTTTGATTGTATGACCAAAGGTGCTTGCTTTTCCTTGCTTTTCCCTCAAGACTCTCTCTTTTCTCTCCTTTCCTCCCTTGGCCGAACAAGCATCTGAAAAGAGGGGAGAGAAGAGCTTGTTTAATGGTTCAAAATATCTCAACCACCATCTTTAATGAGAGTCCAAGTGTCATTATCCTCTTTAACCTTGTTTTCTCTTTCTTAATTAACAAAATCCAAAAGAAATTAATTATCAAAGTCAAGATCCTCTCCATTTGAGGAGTGACACTTGACAAATTCAAATCCTCTCTTCCAAGAGCTTGACACATGACTCAATATGATCCATCTGATTTGCAAGACACTAATCTTGCTTTATTAGTGTACTTTGGCTCTGGATTTAACTTTCTTTCTTTAATTACAGTAGCTTGGCCTCTGTAATTATTTTTTATCAGATCCATAAATTATTTTCTTTATTTTTTACCTTCCCAAATTGCCCTCTTTGTCTCAAATTTAATTTCTCAATAATTAAATAAAAAGGAAAACTATTTTCCTTCTCTTTAGTGATTTTTTCACTTTTCAAAGGAATTGGGAAAAATCTTAGATACTTGAGGGTCTTCATTTAATTCCATAATCCCTTATAATTTCTTGGGGTCTCATAGGAATTTTCTTGGAATTTTATTCTCCTTAAAAATATTTATTTGGAATTTTCCAAATAAAATCCCTTAATTAGCCTAAATCACTTTTAAATTCTCTTATAAATTATATAAGGGTAATTTGGTCATAAAACCAACTTTATAATTTCATATAACTCTCAAAAGATTTTATCCTCATTTTTCCTTAATTTTCCAAGGCTTGAAAATATTTTTCCTTATTTAAATTTTTGACCAATTTTCCTTAATTAGTCAAATTTCTATAATTGGCTTGGAAAATTATTGGAATTATTTTCCACCAAAATTCTCCTTATTACTTTTAATCCTCAATAATTTGAGAATATTTCTTATTTCTAATTATTATAATGCTGGATGTGACATTCATCATGCTTATGACTGTTAAAATAATTATTATTTGTGTTAGAAATATAATTTCTCTCTCTCCTTCCGTCATTATTAACACTCATACCTATTTTGATAATTTTACAAACTAAACTTTCTTTTATTCAATTATCATTCAAATAATTTTTTATCCAACCTAATTTTTACAAATTATAAAATCCAATCCAAGTACAAGTTATATTACCCAATTTAATTTTTACCCAATTTAACTTTTTTAAAAATCAAGTTGACAATAGATTATTTTTTTCAATCGCCAATCCAAATAGACCTTAAAGAAGTGGGATTAAAAGCTTTTAATTAATTTTTATTACTTTTTTATTTTACATCTTTTTTTATTAAAATTTTAAAATCTTACTTTTCCAATTTTTTAAATTCAGCACATCAAAATTTTCTCGTTCCTTCCCTAAATTTTTAAAATTGACTGACCCTTCTCTACTTATGTTTAAATTTAAATTGATGTTCTATCAAATAAGAAATACTGTTTTGGTTTGCATGAGTAAGAAATGCATTTATTTTAGAACGGCAAAAGCTTCATGAGCCAACTATTGTGCTTGAGAAGCTATTTCCGTCTAAAGTATATGACTAAAGAGTCATGAGTATAATTATATCAAGGGAGGTCAGGGTAATATATGGCAACATTTTTTTTTTCTCACTGGGGGAATAAAAATGGACTAAGAGCATGATGGAGAATCTAAATGTAGACCAATATATGGCCAATGGAAGATGAACATTTATTGGAACCAACTTCTGAAATATTTATCATAGTTATTGGTCGTGTTTGTAACTTATATATTAAATCCTACTAATATGATTTGAATCGTATTTAAATCTTTTCTTATTGAGAATTATAATTACATAACAGTCTGCCTTAACATTTGGCTTAACTCCACATGGCCACATCTACTTAATGCTTGATTTTGGCAACTATGTTCCCCAAGCCTAAAGGTCCTTTTCCATTCCCACAATCAGACTTTATAGCCTTAGATTTACCAAAATTTTAACAATACTTAGGGAAAATTGTTTTGCAAATATTTATACTCTTTTTAATTCTTAATTTGGTACTTGTACCTTTTTCTCTCTCTATTAAATTTTTTAACTTTGCTTTGTTAGTACTATTAGCTCCTGTAGAGGACCTAACAGAGAAAAAAAAAACAGCATAAATACTAAATTAAAAACTAAGAAGGGGAAATCACAAATAAAGACCCTCGAATTAGCAAAATCACTCTATGGTCACCTGAATATGCTAATTACTATGAAGGACCCGGTCTCAAATTGTAATTATGAAATCATGGCTAAATTACCAAAATACCCCTCTTTAATTTTTTTTTTTTTAAAAAAGAAAGCCACTGCCTCACTGGAATCCGGCCACCGGTGCCGGAGCTCCGGCGGCCGCTTCCGGCCACTGTCGGCGGCCGGACGCCGGGGTCCGGCCGCCGAAGCTCCGGCGCCGGCGGCCGCTTCCGGCGGTCTTCCTTTGTTTTTTTTTTTTTGAAACTGTTTTTTTTTTTAAATTGGGGGGAAGTGAGGTTGGGGGGATTTGATCCCCCAACCTAATGCTTCCCAAAATAAGGAATGACCATTGAGCCAACAAATTTTTGTTAACATTATGATGCAAAAAAAAAATATAAGTTAACTCATTTACTCTTGTTCCAGGTGATAACAACAATACATTTGGAAATAACAAGTTCTGATTGTAAAATAACACGTCTGGAATAAAAATTTAACAATATGTTTTTTTTATAACAATAAATTTTATTGCAGGGAATAACAACAATACATTGAAAAATAACAAGTTCTGATTATAAAATAACAAGTTTGGGATTAAAATTTAACAACACGTTTTTTTTGTAACAACACACTTTATTTCAAGTGATAACAACCATACATTTAAAAATAACAAGTTCTGATTA